TGCCTAAAAACCACACTGTAGGTCTGGGCACCCAGCCATTCTGAAAAGGAATGAGTAACCAAAGACCTGAGGCATTTAGTACCACTAAAAACAATTGGAAAGGCTCCACTGATGGGATTCATGAACACAGAATCTTTTCTATTACAGGGGGTGGTCAGACCAAGCCTGACGACCTTGACCTGACAGCTGAGGATTCAAAAATCACATTCCAAGTTCTGCAAGGGGTCCTATCTGTCCAGACACTCAATCATTTGACACTTTCTTGCATCTAAGCACAGCATAAGAGTAAATCTTCAAACCATTCATTATTTTTCCACAAATGACATAAACCTAAACCAACAACCTCTCTATGTGAGATTTCAATGTTCAGAATGACAGGGCACCCTCAGGTCCACGAAGGGAAATAATTCATATGGATTAGATTAAGTTGTTTCAGCTCTGATTTAATAAATAAATTATTGGCAATTTCCATTTCAAGTACTCACTCACTGTTAAAATTTTATAATCCTAAGACTTCAACAAAACTTCAGAAGGACTAAACAGCAGTCTTTTACTGACAATTACCAGGGTGCCCTCAAGCACCTTCAAAGGGGAACATAAAGGCCTCTAGTATATCCAGCAGAAGAGAGGGATCCCAGTGGTCCGTGAAATTGAGGCAAACACTTATATAGGGTTTCAACACAGATTATAAGGAAAGAAACTCTTTACAAAATCTCTTTGGTATTCGGCTACAAAGGCCTCCAGGTTCTGGAAGGCAGTTCAGAAGAGGACACAAATCCATCAGTGTCCATCTGACCAGCTGGCGACCACCCCTGAGCATTGTTAAGTCACGCCTGACTTTGGTCAGCCTCCACAAGTAAATGAGGAGTGAGCGGACAGGAGGCCGAATCTGTCCACTAGCACAACCTTTGACCTATGGCTGGGATCTCCAAGTATTTTTTCATTTGGAAAAAAAACAAAAACCAATTGTTTCGACTATCTTAAATCTATCACTGCTTGTAACATAACACAGTTCTGAACTTATAAAAAAGGTGAAAAATAAGGCAGATATAAACAAACTTGTAATTTTAAGTTACACCTTACTAATTCCAGATAACCAATGTTACCTGTGCTCTTAAAAGTCCATACAGTGCATCACCTGAAGAAGCTGTCCTGGCCTGGTTCCAGGGAGTCCCGGTAACAATTCTTTTTTCAGTCCATCAACTCAGAAACTACTGAATGACTGTTATTATCAAGAGCCTACTTAGTGGGGCCTTAGAGTCCTTTCAAGTTTCAATAGCTCCATAAGAGTTACCTTAACTTTAAGTACTAGGTACAATGCATCAAAAACACTAGATCAAAAGTTTTTGTTGTTGCTATCTTCTTTTTAAGTTCCAAGCCTGCCAATACCGAAAAGTGACATATCTAGTTTCTCCCTGGCTGGCTCTATTTCTTCCCAATGAGTCAAACTATCCACTGTGCAACCTGTGATTAAGAAGTGTGCTGTTGATGAAGGAAGCTGGAAAGTTTCTCTGGGGAAAACTCCTTTTCTGTAAGGGGCCACAGAGTAAATATTTTAGACTTGTAGGTCATAAAGAACCAACTATGTGACTTGACCACTGTAGTGCAGAAGCACTTAAAGACAAGTAAACCAATGTAGTGGCTCTGTGCCAACAAAACTTTATTTGTGGACACTGGAATTTGAATCTCATGTAAGGAATTTTCACATACGACAAAATATCATATATTTTTTACGACCACTTAAAAATGTAGAAGCATTCTGACTTCATGGGCTATAACGAAAACGTCAGTGAGCCCAAGCTGGCCTGCAAGCCACATGCCTGCTCTGGGAGAAGCCCTTCCTTGCTTCTCCCTTGCCCGAAGTCAAAAATAATCCCAGTTTGGAAGCCGGCACACCAAACCAAGTTATTAGATGATGCTGCCCCTACAGTTTTAGAGCGACTCTAGCTCAAAGGAGCCTTGCATCTCATCTCCAGGAGATAGTAACTAAATAGCAATTTTTAATGATAAACATTTCCCAAGACCTCTCCTTTAACCAGAGAATCCTCCACCATAATTTCTTAATAAAATAACCATAAAAAAAACTTGTGCTAAGTACGGTTCAATTAAATCCATAACCTCACTTTCATGCAAATCCAAAAGAACCAGATGTGGCTGGTTATGGAACCCACACACCCAAAGGAACACCAGAAAACCTTGGATGAAACTATAAATTTGAAGGGGGAAGGAATGTTAGAGTTATGTTTCTTCACAAGTCAGAAGGTTTATAAGGCAAACCTAGGATCCTGGAATATAAAGCAGATAACAACCAACACAGGCACTCTGCAGAGGGGACAATCCCCTCTTTCACTTTATCTCACTGTGGTTTTTACACACACATTTCTTTTGTTCACTTTAATCTTTATTCATGGACAATATTTTCAAAATGTCAATGCATCATCTCAAAATAACCTCTGGATTGATCACTCTAAGGAAATGAGCCAATCTCCCCCAAAATACTCAGAAGTACCAGATCAGTCTTCACCCTGGAGAACGCAGCTGCCAAACTGTTAGTCCAACTGGTTAAAACACACAGTGTACACACATACATCAGTATCTCAGAAGTGTAACAAAGTAAATGATGTATCTGAAACCAGTATCAGTTTGTCAGAACCTAACTGATTCAGTTTTTAAAAGGTACACAATTAGAAAGTATCTCCTGTTAGGAGATATTGTGAGGGGATGTCTACATCTATATTCTACCTAGATTCCAGAAAAATCAAATTACTTAAACAGCTTTTCAATTTTTAAAATATAACCAATTCTTCCATAAGCACGGACAACAAATCAAGTGTATTACAACAGACGTAATCACGACAAGAGTCATAAGCACCTCAGCTAAGAGACTCAACCATAATTCCACATCAATGGAGATCTGCCTCCTTTTCAGCCTACCCAGAACTTTATTTCATATTCCATATGGCTATGTGACATTCTGGTAACTGTACATTATCACTGCAGTACTTCAGAGTTGTTTCTGAGAATGATTAGTGCTAATTAACCCACAGCAAAGAATGTGGTTTTACAACTTAAGATCACCTCCTGACTTTAAGTGCACTCCTAACAATATCATAGGCATAATTACCTAACAAATTCTAATAGCCGTGGGATCACACAAAAAAATTTCATGGAAATGCATGATTTCCTTTAAAAATGGAAAGGGGGCCAAGATCAGTAATTACTAGATAAAAACTAAACACTACTTGTCTTAATGAATTGCTTTATGTCCTTAGATAATTATTTACTTCCATTAAAATACACAGAATCCACCGCAGCGTAAACTCTCTGAACGCCTGGCATAGTAAGAAACCTAACATAGGAAAATGAGAAATCTATGAAAAACCAATGAGACACCAAAATGGGGAATCATCACTTACTGCTCTCTGGAAAGGCAAAATGCACTATAAATGCTACCAATTATAAGCCAGGGCTCGAAAGCCTCTTTTCAATAAATGCAAGGTTAACCGCAAACTACATTATGGTTCAAAAATGAATTATCACTCTTAATTCTACAGTTGAACTGCACATACTTCTGGTTAAGTGGCCCAAAACTCAACCTAATGAAAAGACGACCTAACCGGTCACATCGCACAGTTCACGATCCACAACTCTGAAAGCAATGCACTCCTGCCTAATTCTGTTGGGTTTTTTGTTTGTTTGTTTGTTGTTTTTTTTTAAAAACCCTTCCAGGATAAGCTTGCATCATCATCTTCCTTCTTACCCCATCTTCCCAGCCAGATAACCAACACCGAAGTTTAAAGGAGATCTGTCTTAGGTCGGAGGGGGAGAAGGTTCGGGAGGATGGGAGTGTGAGGACCTGTCAAATACATTTTTTTTTTTTTTTTAACTGCCGAGGGAAAACGTCACCCGAGTAAGGCCGGAGAGTTAAATGGCTCTCACGATGCACGGTTAAATTTCTTTATGGCCCTTTGTATGCTGAGAGATTCGAGCAGACAAAAAGAGGGACCGGCTTTTGGCTTTGATTCCCGGGGGTTAGGAAGGCGGTCCAGGGTCATGGGCTCGGTGGTCCTTTACACCGCAGGCCCCGGGACCGGATGGATGCCCGCGGCCACGCGCCCACCCCAAAGTTCCTGCGCCCTGCGGCCGGGCGCCTGCGATCACCGCCCGGGACGCGGGAACAATGCGGGGCTCCGGGGCGCCCACCCTCGGGCCCGGGGAGGCTCCGGGAGGCCGTTCTCCGCCCGCGCCCGGGAACAAAAGGCACCGCGGGGCCCGGGCCGAGCGCCCGGCCGCGAAGGCGTCGGGAAAACTTTCTGAAGGGCCGAGGCGGCGGGGCGACCGCCCGGGAGGCCCTCTGTCGCCGCGGCGCCCCGCACAATAGCCCGGCCGAGCGCGGGAAGGCCGGGCCGCCACGCCCCCGCTCCAGCCCCGGCCGGGGCCCGACTCCCGCCGGCCGCGTACCTGGTGGTTCTCCTTCCTGCCGCCCGCGGCCGCCGCCGGCCCGCCGGGGCCGCTCGTCATGTTCACGTACAGGGAGCGGGTGAGCGGGCTCCGCAGCGTCCACATCCTCCGCGCCAGCCACACGGACGCCAGGCTCAGGCACAGCCAGCCCACGAACAGTCTCATCGGGGGCCGCGGCCGCTCGTTCGGATCACCGCCGGCGCCGGGGCGAGGAGGAGGAGGCGCCGCCGCCTCCGGCCGCCGCCGCCGCCGCCCGGGCTCGAGCCATCGCGCCCAACTTGCCCATCCAGCCCCTTCAGGGCCGAGGCGGGGGGTGGGGAGGAGCAGGCGGCGCACAGCCTTCCCGCCTCCCCCTTCCTTTCCGCCCGCGGAACGCCGCCGCCGCCGGCGCCAGTTTCCACCCGGAGCACTTAGGGAAGGCCCGGGCGCGTTCCCCGGCTCAGTGCACCGCCGGCCGGGAGGCGGGACAAAAAGAGCGCGCATTCGCCCGGCGCGCGCGGCCCCGCCTTGTCTCGGCTGCGGCTCCACGTAATGGCGGAGATGATTTTTAATTTTTCTTAGCATAGAGGGAGATACTTCCGAAGGTAGCTCGTGAAACCTCCCGTCCCTCCAAGGTGGTGCCTTTAGGGCTTCCGGTCCTTCCTCGCTGTAGTCTTTGCCTCTGGGCGTCGCATCCCCCACCCCCGACCCCTGGCCGGGGGGTGAGGAGAGGGTGTCTCCCGCCGTTCATACGTCGGGACTGTCAAGACCAACCCCTTGCTTGGGACGGACGGTGCCAGTTCTTAACTGTCACTGGTTCGGCTGCGTGGTTTCCTATTTACATTTAGAGCCAGCGAGCCAGACCCCTAGGGCCTCCACCCTGCTCCGCGGGAGCCACAAAGCAGTCAGGAAATCGAAGAGGGAAAGGCTCTCACCGACCTCTCCCCTCTTCCCAGTCCTGTCCCTCGAACCTGGCAAGTTGCTGGCTACCTGTTTCTAAGAGGCGTCGGTGAAAGCTCTGCCTTTGTTAGAAGCTACTGCAAATATTAGAAGCTACTCAAAATATTACTGCAGCTGGGGCACCTGCAAGTAATATTTTGATGTACTGACGACCCTGCCCAGGAATGAAGACACCCCCATACACACACACACACACACACACACACACGCGTCACATTAGAGTCCCTTGCTGCTTATTTCCTTGAACTAACAGGCGGAAGTTGGACCCAACACTCTTAAAGCGAACTCAGCTCTGCGAGCAGTAATTGACTCGGATGTTTCTTTGATCATTTCCAGCACGAGCAGACTTAGCAACGTTTCAAAACTGAAGGGTTGCACTGGGTTCCTGTGTCTGAAGTTCTTCCTGCGGCTACAACCAAGCTACAGCTAAGGAGTAACATATTTCACGGGTTCCAGGTTTGTTTAGAAACTGCTTTTAATTTCACTGCACTAGAGATAATGTAAATAACTTTATTTTGGTTCCAAAGAAACAAGCCTCTCCAGTTACTCCAGTATTGCACTTGAGAGATTGTCATTTGTGAAGCAGCCGTGTGGCGATCCCCTGATGAGGACCAAAATCGTCCTTTACCCACAGACATTTTTAGTAGCTTCTAAGAATCTCAGGTCAGCATTTTTTGGTTAACAGGGACGTCTTGTTTCCCACAGTGAGGTAGGCCAGATAATGAACTAACAAAAACAGGGGCGGGGAAACGGGGAGGATACTTTGTGTTCTCTCTTTTCACTATATTCCCTGACTGCTTCCTGCCAAAACTGCAAAGAGGGAGAACCCCTAACTCTAGTTCAAACCTCCAGTGGTCCTGGCCTAAGTCATTGAAAGGGAACTATATTAGGCAATCCAAAGAATTCAGTTTGTTTACCAGGTCAACTCTCCCTCCTATCTCTTGAAATCAGTGTCAGATAAAGCAGCTCTCTGTCTGTGCAGAAAGCAAGACTTCATATTTTTAGAGGGGGTGGGTTGGGGATGAGGGTGAAAGCAAGGGTATGTAAAGTGACATCTTTCATTTCTGAAAACAAAGGAGACAAAAAGGTATGTGCCCCAACTATAGAGTAAACCTGAGGAGCCACAGCCCAAAGACTGCAAACTGTGTCAGATGAACAAGAAGCAACTGGACAGCTGCTGAACTCAAGGATTTGGAGGTCAGTTGATGGCCAGGGAGCCTAGCATCTCAAAGGAGCAGATTTTCATTTTATACCTGAGCAGCTGGCCTGGAAAAATAAATCACCCACACATTTAAAAGACTCTATAATAATCACAAAATAGTCCAATACATGTTATTTACACTTAGCAAGCACAGGAAGAAACCAAAGCACAGCACGATCAAATGATTCGCCTAAAGGTAGAGCAAATTCAATAGCAGACCTTTTCATAGAACTTGGTATCCCAGCTCGTGATCCTTCGATCCATCTAAGAAGCCTCAAGCCTCGCTGTCTCTGTCTTCTCAGAGAGCCTCCTGAATTACAAATGAGGAGGAAGGAAAACAGCAAGAGTAAATATACTAAGCAGAAGTTCAGATTGCCCTCGGGGACTGCCCCCTTCCTTCATCTACTAGAATGTCACTGCTATATATTAAAACCTCAATTTAAAACCTCAGTTGTCCATAATGGAGAGGGGAAGAGGCCCAGATAACACGAGAAGCCCCAAACCAGCCAATATCCTTTCTAATGTGGCTTTCAAATCCAGTCAGTGATACTCCAAAGATACACAAATGACACCCTCTGTACTGATCTCTGCTCACTGCCCTCCTGGGTCATAGCTCTGTGCATGAGCCCCAAATCTTGCCTGGGTCACTTCCCTCTGTAGAACTCTAAGCAAGGGTCCCTTTTGTTGTCATTTGTTCTTATGAGCTACAGATGACAATATTATCATGTCCTCTTTTCAGTGACAAAATAGAATGTAAAAGAAAGAGGGACTTGGATCTGTAGAGGGCACAAAATGTGTCAGTCGCTGTGGGTTACTGTCCTCTCCTTAAAGAACTCATAAATCACATGTTTTCATGGACTTCTTTTTTTTTCTAATACTTAATGTTTTGTAGTGTCAGAGACGTGTGCAAGTATTCCCAAATATATTCAGTAGATGTGCCCTGTGGTAATTAAGCAACGAGCACCTCTAAAATATAAAATTAGTAAATGTATTCAGCAGGTTTTTTAAAATTAGTAGATATAGGGGATTTTATCTGAACCTGGTTGACCTAATTTCAGTTATAGGCAATGACCACTGTGGTATCTGAGTGATAAATTCTAAGCTCAGGTGAAAATGCAAACAGTTTTTAAAAATTGGCAACATAGGGGCGCCTGGGTGGCTCAGTGGGTTAAGCCTCTGCCCTCGGCTCAGGTCATGAACTCAGGGTCCTGGGATCGAGCCCCACCTAGGGCTCTCTGCTCAGCGGGGAGCCTGTTTCACCCTCTCTCTCTGCCTACTTGTGATCTCTCTCTCTCTCTGTCAAATGAATAAATAAAATCTTTAAAAAAAAATTGGCAACATAAAGCAGCAGAATTAAACCAGGAGTCACACCTATAGAAGCAAGTTCAAATAACACAATGTACTCTTGGAGATCTCCCAGTGCTACTCATTAACATAGTGTTGTGACAGAGACTACCTGAGTTTGAAGCGTGGCTCTCTGCTTCTTAATAATAAAATTTGAGGCAAATAATTTGACCTCTCCAAGTCTCAGTCTCCTCATCTGTAAAATGGGAATAATAGTAATCGTTACCTATCTCATGGGGATGTAGTAATGATTAAAGTATATATTCTAAAAAAAAAATTAAAGTATATATTCTAAGTAACATAGTAAACTCTCCAAAAAATGTTAATTTGCTCTGGTTTTCACGATAACTTGTATAATTCAACCTCTTCTGATCCCCACCTACTTTCCTCATTTATAAACTAAGGGCCATGATTCTGAGCTGCTTACTTCATAATACCTCTGAGAATCAGATGATCTGAAAGTCTCAGCCAACATTATGTTCAGTCCTAAAGTGACTGTGGTCTCTGCAAAGCCTCTCACCATAAAACATTCCCTTAGAGGCCTTGATGAGAGCTCCTCCTCATAATGTGTCTACTCCCAGGTTCCTTCCTGAGACTTCAAACTAAGGGAGGAAGGGTAAGAAGGGGGGTGGGAATAAAACACAAAACTAGAAAACATTCAAACCTAAAATCGCAGAATCAGACAGCAAGCCTAATGTAGAAGACTTGTCAAGGATGCTTGTCTTCTTAGTAGGGAAGCCTTTCCCACTCTGATACATAGAACTCCATGCCAGCCATGGCATTTCACCTGCGTAGAACCTTCTGACCCCCACAGCTTCCTTCCCCTTCCCCTCCACTATACACCTCGTGGCAATCTCATACTTTTCTCGTCAGGAATAACATCAGAAAGACAAATACCACAAATACCACTTTCATATAGTCAATAAATAACTTATTGAATAATAAATAACTTATTGAGTACATGTCATACACCAGTCACTGGATTAAGTGGAATTAAAAAACAAACACAGTGCCTCATACAGCTTGCCGTCTGTGCAGTAGGGAGTCAGACTGTCCAAGGAATCAAAAAATGAATATATAATTACCAAAAAAATGAATATATAATTATAAACTGCTGTGTGCAAGAAAAGAATTGGATATTGCTAGAACTTACAACAGAGGAATCTGACTTGAATAGGGTACAGGGAATAGAGTATTCAGGGAGAGCTGCCCAGAGGAAGTGTGACATTGCAGCCCTCGTTTTGACATCTTGTTAAGTTTGAGAGTTTCTGAATTGCCCAAGTTCCTCTGGATTATCGGTGCACTCAGTAATTGTGAGAAAAGAGATAGGGGGACCCTTGGAACCTCCTAGGATGTGAAAACTCACGGTGGGCCACCTATGTAATTATGTTGTACGTATACATGACTGCTTTAAGGATCCTTCAAAAAATTGCACATAGTAGTTTAACTCACTTAAAGGAATATATTGTGTTGCATTTTAAAATAACACATTTCAGGGGTGCCTGGGTGACACAGTAAGTTAAAGCCTCTGCCTTCACCTCAGGTCATGATCTTAGGGTCCTGGGATCAAGCCCCGCATCGGGCCCTCTGCTCCATGGAGCTTGCTTCCTTCTCTCTCTCTGCCTGCCTCTCTGCTTACTTGTGATCTCTGTCTGTCAAATAAATAAATAAAATCTTAAAAAAAAAATAACACATTTCAACTTCGCAATGTCCTTCTAGTAGGAGGTCTGAGTCAGAGCTCTGAAAAAAGAGAGAAGGCTGTTGTTTTTCACTCACTTTCTGGGACATTTTCAAAGGTCCAAAGATCTTTGATCTTATTTTAAGTATATTTTCAAAACATCCCTATCCTTGGCCTCTTAATTGCTGTCTCCTGCATGTATGCGGGTTTGGTCTTATGAGTGGCCACTTCCTCTCCACCCCATGCTCCGTGTCACTTCATGCCACTGTGTTTTTATATGCTCATTTTGAAACTATAAAGCTTTTTTGTTTTATAACTATAAAACATTCAAACTTATGGTTCATATGAAATACATGAAAAAATTGCACGGTACAATGAGAAAGCTTTAAAACTTAAAATCTAAATATGTCACAGTAGACAAAATATATATGTATATATGTAAACATAAGTGATCTTAAAGAGTTCATATAACATAGCCCAGAACCACATCTCTGCTGGCATGAAAGAAGATGACCATTTTATTTTTGCACAACCGCATACTGGTCTGAGGATGAGGAAGAATACATTTATGAAAGAGGATACTTGAGCAATCAAGCAGCCTGAAAATCAGACAGAACTACCTCCCTTTACTATGGTAAAAACAGTGATTGATATATTTTTTTTTAATAGCCACAACTAATGTTAGTTTGCTTTACAACTCAGCCTAGGATCTTTCTGAAATGTATTGTGTGCACAAACCATTAAATCCAGAGGAAAGCCATTTGGCCTATTAAATAACCAAAAACTCAGCATGGTGAGACCCCCACAGCTGTTTGCCTCTGGTTCATGGTTTCCCCTTAGCAAGCATCCTTTGTTCCATACAGTTTCCTAACCCTGACAGTCAATCCTGAAAACAGCTATTAGGCTATTTTACAATAGAAAGTTTACCTCAAGTTCAATAGCTTTGTATGCTTAAGTCTTTCAAAAAAAGTTTTAGATACGACAGGAGCAGGCATTAGAAGCCAGCAGTTTTTCCTTCCACCAAGAGCGCTCAGATTCCATCCGCTTCCTTCAGCCTCCCACACCAGCTCTGGGAGGTAAGAGCAGGAGAAGCCAGCTTTGCCCAGGGACCTCACAAAAGTATAGTTTGTTATCTGTGAGTATAGAACAGGTTGCTCTGTCTCCAGAAGGCCAGCTTACAACCAAAGCTTTAAATGACACCAGAGCCAAATTTGCTGCCTTTTTTTTTTTTTTAAGATTTTATTTATTTATTTGAGAGAGAGACAGTGAGAGAGAACATGAGAGGCGAGAAGGTCAGAGGGAGAAGCAGACTTCCCATGGAGCCGGGGGCCTGATGCGGGTCTCGATCCCGCGACTCTGGGACTGTGACCTGAGCTGAAGACAGTTGCTTAACCAACCAGGCACCCAAATTTGATGTTTTTTAAATATCTTATAAGTTTAAACAAATTCCCTGAGGAAAATTTTCTTAAAATTTTCATAAAGAAACATATTTACAGATAATTTTTACCACATCTACAATGCTCATCATGATTATTCAATGGAATAAGTCTTTTTTTAAGCTTCTATTTATTTATTTGAGAGAGAGAGAACATGAGAAAGAGAGTGATAACAAGCAGTGGGGAGGGGTAGAGAGAGAAGCAGACTCCCTGCTGAGCAAGGAGCCCAATGCAGGACTCAATCCCAGGACCCAGGGATCATGACCTGAGCTGAAGGCAGATGCTTAACTGACCGAGCCACCCAGGTGCCCTGGAATAAGTCTTCAAGGAAAAAAATTTAAGTTATCCTATAGTTATTTGATAGTACAATTGATTAATTTGTAGATTCTCCAACACCCTGTTTGATACATGGACTAGAATTTCTCCATTGTTCTAGACAT